AGAAGAAAATCAAGCTCAGTACTAACCTCAGTGCCGGGCTTCGGTCAAAGACCATACAGGTGCTCAGGGAGAACTTTGTGGTGTTTGCATGGAGTGTCGAGGATATGCCGGGAGTTAGCAAATCCCTGATCACCCACCGCCTCGCGATCGAGGCAGACGCGGAGCCCATAAAGCAGAGAAGGTGACACTTGAGCAAAGACCGGAGGGATTTCGTGAAGAAGGAGGTGGGCATGCTCCAGGCAGCGGGGCATTTCAAGGAGATTAAATACCCCACCTGGCTGGCCAACGTCGTGCTGGCACCGAAGGGGTAGACATTCAGGATGTGTGTTGATTACACTGACCTGAATCGAGCTTGTCCTATGGACCCTTTCCCTTTGCCCAACATTGATCAAATGATCGACGAAACGGTCGGGTGCGAGGTCATGTCTTTCATGGATGCATTCAGAGGATATCACCAAGTGTTCATGCACGAGGAAGATCCCGAGAAGACGGCGTTCCTCACCCCGGAGGGGGTGTGTTGCTATTTGGTGATGGCATTCGGGCTAAAGAATAGTGGAGCCACGTATACAAGGATGGTCAGCCGAGTGTTCCACTCGGTCTTGGGAAGGACGATGGCGGCATATGTGGACGACATGATCGTCAAGAGCAAGCAGGCTTCCGACCATGCGGAGGACCTATCCCAGGTTTTTTCTATTATGCGTAAGTTCAATTTACGTCTTAACCCCCAAAAATGTACGTTTGGTGTAGAAGGTGGCAAGTTCTTAGGTTATCTCGTGAGCCGACGAGGTATTGAGCCCAACCCCGAGAAGGTCAAAGCGATCCTAGATATGGAGGCCCCCCGCTCCATAAAAGAAGTACAGTGCCTAACGGGAAGGATGGCCGCACTCGGCCGATTTTTATCAAAATCCGCCGAGAAGAGTATCCCTTTCTTCGGCACACTGAAGAAGGTTCCACAATTCCAGTGGACACCCGAGTGCCAGGCGGCATTTGAAGAGCTGAAGAAGTATTTGTTAACTCCGCAGGTGCTAGCGAAGCCGATCAAGGGCGAGAAACTGTACCTTTATTTGGGCGTCAGCCCTGGGACCATAAGTTCCGTTTTGTTACGGGAAGAAGGGGATGTTCAGCGCCCCATCTATTATGTTAGCAGAACCTTGAGGGATGCCGAGCTCAGATACTCGGTGGTGGAAAAAACGATCTTGGCCGTCGTCAACACGGTCAAGAAGCTGAACCATTACTTCCAAGCCCACGAAGTGGAAGTGAGGAGTCATCAGCCTCTAAGCATCATCATCAGGAATCCGACAGCCTCTAACAGGGTCATCAAATGGTCTGTCTATCTGAGCCAGTATCAGATAGAGATGAAGCCGAGAATAGCAATCAAAGCCCAGGCCTTGGCCGATTTCATGGTGGAATGTACGGCACGTGACAACAACCCCATACCAACGGCCGAGGGCGGAAAGTGGTGGACTTTATCTACTGATGGATCGTCAGCTGCAAAGGCTTGCGGTGGGGGCGTGGTAATCCAATCACCTGAAGGATTCCGCTCCTATCTTGCAATAAAATTCCAATTCAAAGTGTCCAACAACGAAGCCGAGTATGAGGCGTTGCTGAGTGGCCTGAGGCTCGTCCTCAACCTGAAGGCTGAGTACGTCAGGATCAGGTGCGATTCGCGCCTGGTTGTCAATCAAATCAAAGGAGAGTTCGACACCAAGGAGGAACGGATGCGTCTATACAAGGAAGCGGCCCTGGAATTGCTCAGAATTCTTAAAGGATACGAGGTTGTACAGATCCCAAGGGCAGAAAACACCGAGGCCGATGTTCTATCCAAACTGAGCAACGACGACCCCGAGCACATCTCCAGGATGGCCCGTGTTGAGGACCTGGGATCTCCGAGCATTCACGTGCAGCTCGTTTCTGCTATCACCAAGGAAGCCAACGGTTGGATCGCAGAATTGATCCGATACAAGAAGGATGGGATTCTCCCCAGAGAGGAGACGACGGCCCGTTTGATCAAACGGAGGGCACCGTCATATGTCATTGAGAATGGCCGGCTATACAAGAGATCATATAACGGCACATTGTTAAGGTGTGTTGATGAGGCCAGGGCGAGGCAGATCATGGAAGAAGTCCACGAGGGAGTATGCGCGGCGCATCAAGGTCCTTTCTCCATGGCCAGACGCATTGTCCTGCAGGGATACTTCTGGCCGACCATGGTGAAGGACTGTGCCAGGCACGCCAAGCGATGCAAAGTGTGCCAAATATTCTAGAACATTCCGGGAAGACCGAGAACCAACTATCATCCCATCAGCTCGTCGATCCCTTTTGCCCATTGGGGGATAGACCTGATAGGACTAATGCCGAGGGCACCTGGTAATTTCCGTTGGATCATTGTGGCCATCGATTACTTCACGAAGTGGATTGAGGCCGAGCCCTTGGTGGGAGGAACCTCGGAACAATGCTTGAAATTTGTGAACAACAACATACTCTGCCGATACGTTGTCCCAAAGCAGATCACCACAGACAACGGAACCCAATTTGAAGCTGGGGATTTCAATGAACTTTTGGGAGATTGGAAGATAAGGCACACCTACAGCTCGGTGGCTTACCCGCAGGGGAACGGCCAAGTCAAGAATGCCAATCGAACAATCATGGACGGGATCAAGAAGAGGCTTGAGTCCTACAAGGGAGCGTGGGTAGACCAACTCCCCAACGTGCTGTGGGCATACCGTACCACTCCGAGGAGGGCAACCGAAGAAACGCCGTTTTCAATGTGCTACGGCCTGGAAGCGAGAGCGCCCTCGGAGGTATTCATCCCAACATGGAGAGAAGAGAATTATGAAGCCAAAGAGAACAAGGAGACGATGGCAGCCGATCTCAATTTCATTGAAGAGCGCCAGGAGCAGGCCTTCCTAAAAGCAGAGAACTACCGAAGGCAAGTCAAAGAATATTACGACCGCAAGGTCAGAGCAAGGGAATTCCGAGTAGGGGACTTGGTGCTCAGGAAAAGGGAAGCCAGCCAACCTACAGAAGGGGGAAAGTTTGCCAAAAGCTACGAAGGACCATACAAGGTCACGGCTGTGCTCAGGCCAGGCGCCTACAAGCTCTCCACGCTTGAAGGTCGCGAACTCAGCATGCACTGGAACAAATCCTAACCGTCTCGCCACTCGGCAATGCCTGTTATCGAGTGTCCCTTGAGGGGGGGAGCTCATCCGCACGGTTCAACCCGGGGAATCGGCGCTCTGATCGAGACGAAGAACAAGGTCCGAATGGGCACAACTTGTTAATAGCACAAAGGGCAGCGCATGGTCCTGCTTAGGACAAAAAAAACTTGCAATCCTGCTTAGGATGTCTTCCACGACCCCCAGTCCTGCTGAGGAAACACCTTTCGCCGGCCTATTGAGGGTGTGAGCGCAAAAGAACCCTTTGGGGTGCAAAAAAAAAATCGAGAGCACGCTTGATATGTTCAACACTCTCAACGAGAGCACCAATGTTGGGTTATGGAACCCGGGGGCCTAGGTAACTAGGCGAAAGAGTATCGAACTAGTTCAAGAGTGCACGAAATATGGGGTCAGGTAAACTGAGGATAGTATTGCCCTAATCAGGGTCTCACTTAGAACGTAAGTCCGGAGCGTGTCGAATGAGCTCCCCCTCCCCTCTTCCAAGAAGAGGGATATATATAGTGGGAGAGTGAAGGCTAGGGTTTACATACAAAGACCAATGGGCCGGCCCAACAGGCTGGGCCGCCCTAAATAAGAAATTAATAAACGACCAACGGGCTGATCGCACTAATTGGACCGCCTCGACNGTTCAAGAGTGCACGAAATATGGGGTCAGGTAAACTGAGGATAGTATTGCCCTAATCAGGGTCTCACTTAGAACGTAAGTCCGGAGCGTGTCGAATGAGCTCCCCCTCCCCTCTTCCAAGAAGAGGGATATATATAGTGGGAGAGTGAAGGCTAGGGTTTACATACAAAGACCAATGGGCCGGCCCAACAGGCTGGGCCGCCCTAAATAAGAAATTAATAAACGACCAACGGGCTGATCGCACTAATTGGACCGCCTCGACTAATATTATACAAAGACCGGATAACCCCTGTCCAGGGTATCCATCAGAAAGATTCGCTCTTTTATAAACTTTTTCATCTTTTGGAATCATTGTTTGAGCGCTTGAGGTGAGTGAGGGTTCAAAGTGATCCAAAAGGCCTTTGAAATCTTTGACTACGGGCCTTATAGAGAGTTGACGATCCTCTATATGTGGTCAATGATATGTTTCAACTGGAGCCTTTGAATTATACGTGTAATGTTCTTTTTTTCATTTTGTTTTGGGTTCTTGGCGGTTTTTCTTGGGTTACCTTAGTTGGAGAAGTTGATTATCTTTTGAACTTGTTTCCCCCATTTTATCAAAAAAACCAAAAAATAAGAAAATATAAAAACCAAAAATATTTACTTTTTATTCAACCCCCCCTTTTGTGTTATATTAGCATAAGTTTTTTTACTAAGTTATATTATAAGTGTTTGTTTATAAGTTATAAATATAAGTTTTTATACGTTATCTACTTTTATATACTTAAGTATTTGTTATGAGTTTAAGTTATATTATAAGTTCTTTATTTATATAAGTTATATTTATAGTTTTTTATATTTATTTAGTTATAAGTTTTACTATAAGTTCTTATCATATGTGTAGTAGTTTGTTTTATTTAGTGACAACGTGTTTGCATGCTAAATTGGTTTTAAAAACTACGAACTCTCCCCGTGGGATCGACCCTTACTTGCCCTAGCTATAGTTTTTGTTTGATTATATATTGGGGGTTAGCTAAGGATATTTTTATAAATTTTTAATTTTTTTTGGACCGCACGACAAGTCCCTAACAGCAGCAAAAGGGGCGAGATGATCTGGAAGAGACCTTCAGCGTAGACTCTGCCAACAGCGTATGTGGATTGGGCGTGGAAGATCCATCTGTAAATTTGTCACGATACAATTAATCGAATGCAAACGTTTAGAACTTATCTTGTTGTTTGTTTGAAATCCTTAATTATATCGATTATTGTAATCCTTTGTAATTTCTGTCATGAACTCAACTACTCAATAAAAAAAATCCGAATAAAGAAATTTCTGTTATTGTAGAATGAGTCAAGAATCTTCCCACGGACAAGGCAACAATGAACACGTCAGTGTTCATACCGAAGCATCTAGCTTCATTCCTCCTGTCCCCAACGAACTTGTCAACCAACAAAACATCGAAAATAACCCAAACGCTGGTGGTCAAAACGACCTTGTGATTTCTGCAGCTCTGGCTAATGTTTTACAACAAATAGCTAATGCTCCTATGTTTCAACCACCTCCACCGCCACCGCCTCGTGTGGTAACATACAAAACATTAAGGGATAAGGGCGCGGAAATATTTCTTGGGGACCGCATCGCCGAACCCCAAGTTGCGTGGGATTGGATCGAGCAGACCGCTCGAGTGTTGGAAGATCTTAATGTACCCATCGGCAACTATCCCAGACTAGCTTCTCAACTGCTCTGCAATGAAGCCTACGAATGGTGGAAGAGAACAGATGAAAGCACGGAAACCCTGAAACTGTGGACTTGGGCGCATTTTGAATGGGCATTCAAGCAAGAATATATTCCGAAACGTTTTAGCGAAGAAAGACGTAAGGAATTTATTAAATTGCAACAGGGAGACATGACACTCCCTGAGTATTGTTAGAAATTTACCAGTCTTGCTAAGTTTGCGTCAACTTTGGTGAGTATCCCAACCGATCGCATCGAGGAATTCAAGAATAAACTTCGACCTGACCTGAAGTCGCAGGTGTCCATCTTGACCACTGTGGATTTCGCAGCAGCTTACGATCTAATGGCCAAAGCAGACAATTACTTGAGTGCTTGTAATGAATATTTGAAGATGAATAATGTCACTTCAAGTACTCATCAACCCGCAAGTTCTGTTTCGAAAGGAAAAAGGCCTTTCGAAGGACATTGCAATTCACATTTCTCTAAAAAGGGAAAGTCTGTGCAAACTCAGTCGATGGCATTTGTTGATAAGTCGATGAAGCAGAAGTATCTGTCTGCAAATACTGCGGAAGGAACCACCTTGGAGAATGTTGGCTTAAACAAGGGTTGTGTCTTGGCTGTGGAAAACCAGGACATTTCCAAAAGGAGTGCCCTACAAACTCTGGAGAACCATTTCAACCTGCCCCTGTTGTTAGTAAAGCAGCATCAACACGACCCGCACCAAGCCAACGCTCAACAGCGGGGTCTAATCTTGCCAATAATCAAAACCAGCAACAAGGAGGAGCTCTTGCTCGTACTTATGCAATGAAGGCTCGAGCTGAGGAAAACCCTGACGTCATTCAGGGTATGTTTTCCTTATTTGATATTGTCATGCATGTATTGATAGACCATGGATCAATGTTATCTTATATCTCCGTGTCTATGCCTGAAAAAGCTGACATAATGAAAGAACAATTAAAACAATCTATACTAGTGTCAAACCCGTTAAGAAATAGTATGAGGTTAAATCATGTGTATTAAGACTGTCCACTGATTGTTGAAGGACAACGATTCTCTGTAAATCTTGTTAAATTACCGTACAAAGAATTCGATATCATCCTTGGAATGGATTGGCTCACTAAACACCAAGCGGTTATTGATTGCCGACGACGGATAATACAATTGAAAACCAACGAAGGAAGATTCATAGAGGTGAAAGAAAAGTCAACTCCTAAAACCACAGAGTTCATCTCGTATATACACGCTAGACGTCTCATTCGAAAGAAATGTGAGGCTTATCTATGTAGTGTACGTGACACACTAAAGAACGTACTCCTGAGTTGAAGGACATACCGACAGCATGTAATTTTCCTGACGTATTCCCTAAAGAACTTCCTCGTATACCATCTTTTAGAGAAGTGGAATTCTCTATCGATCTTGTTCCCGGAACAAGACCGATATCTGCAACTCCCTATTGCATGGCTCCTGCTGAAATGAAAGAATTGAAGGCTCAACTACAAGAATTGCTCGATAAAGGATTCATACGACTGAGTGTTTCCCCTTGGGGAGCACCCGTTCTGTTTGTCAAAAAGAAAGACGGCTCGATGAGATTATGCATTGATTACCGTCAATTAAACAAAGTCACAATCAAAAATTGATATCCTTTATCTCGTATCGATGACTTATTTGATCAGGTTAGAGAGTCTACTATATTCTCTAAGATTGACTTACTGTCAAGATACCATCAAATCCCTGTCAAGAAAGAGGACATCCCAAAGACTGCATTTCGTGCTCGTTATGGTCATTATGAGTTCACGGTAATGCCCTTTGGTTTGAATAATGCTCTTGCAGTATTTATGGATCTCATGAATAGTGTATTCTGACCCCATCTTGATCAATTCGTAGTTGTGTTCATCGACGACATTCTTGTAATTCGAAGAATCGAGAAGACCATGCAAAGCACCTAGAGATAGTACTCAGTGTACTACGAGAACACAAATTTTATGCAAAGTTATCTAAGTGTGAATTTTGGCTTGACGAAGTCACATTCCTTGGTCATGTGATTTCGAAAGAAGGTGTCAAAGTAGATCCCACCAAAATATTTGCCATTACTGAATGGATAATTCCAAGGAATGTTCATGAAGTGAGAAGTTTTTTGGGGTTAGCCGGATACTATCGATGTTTTGTCGAAGGCTTTTTTCCTCGATTGCAACTCCACTTAACAAACTTTTGAGGAAAGATGTGAAATTCGTATGGACCGATGCATGTTAGCAAAGCTTTGAAAAACTAAAGAAATGTCTGACAGAAGCACCTGTACTGACACAACCAGTACCAGGTGTAGACTACACAATCTTTAGTGACGCATTTCATAATGGCTTGGGATGTGTGCTCATGCAAGACGGAAAAGTTGTGGCGTATGCATCAAGACAGTTGAAGCCTCACGAATGTAAATATCCTACTCACGATCTTGAGTTAGGAGCAGTCGTATTTGCCCTGAAGATATGGCGTCATTATCTTTTTGGAGAGACGACATATATTTACACAGACCATAAAAGTCTAAAATATCTGCTTACTCAAAAAGAATTGAACCTGAGACAGAGAAGATGGTTGGAATTGATCAAAGACTACGACTGCTACATCGACTATCACCCTGGTAAGGCTAACGTAGTTGCTGACGCATTGAGCCGGAAGATGATAGCCGAACTCCGAGTCCAACCTACTCTTGAGAACGAAATTCATGCTGCACAAAAACGTGATGATTACTGTTTGAAGACTTCTAAACTTGTCTCTTAGGGGGAGAGACAAGAATTCACTGTGAATGATGGAATTTTATTCTACAGGAATCATCTCGTAGTTCCTAATGGTGAAGTGAGAGAACGTTTAATGCGTGAATCTCTCAAAACCACATATACCATGTATCCTGGTAGTAATAAAATGTTCCAGGAACTAAAGAAGACATATTGGTGGCCCACGATGAAGCAGGAAATTTCTGAATTTATTACACCATATCTAACGTGTCAACAAGTCAAAGCTGAACATCAAGTACCAAGTGGATTGTTGCATCTACCTACCATTTCTGAATGGAAGTGGGAACAAATTACGATGGACTTCGTGATCGGACTTCCATTATCAGTCAAGAAGAATGACGCTGTCTGGGTAATCGTTGACCGATTAACCAAGTCATCTCATTTTATACCAATTTGGCGTGATATGTCATTAAAGAAATTGGCAGAATTGTACATCCGTGAGATCGTAAGATTACATGGTGTGCCTCTATCTATCATTTCTGATCATGACCCACGATTCACGTCGCAATTCTGGAAGAGTCTACAAAAAGCCTTAAGTACTAAACTCAACTTTAGTACGACAATCTGAAAGAAAAATTCAAATTCTGGAAGATATGATGAGGGCATGTGTAATCGATTTTGGACGCAATTGGGAACAATACTTACCGTTAATAGAGTTCGCTTATAATAATACTTATCAAGCGAGTATCCAGATGGCCCCGTACGAAGCTTTGTATGGGAGACGTTGTAGAACCCCAGTATCAGTATGCTGGACAGAATTAAGTGAGCAAAAGCTTGAAGGACCTGATCTCGTCCGTGAAACTGAAGAAAAGGTTCGCCTGATCAGAGAAAGACTGCAAGTGGCTTCTGATCGACAAAAGTCTTATGCCGACTTGAAACGTCGTGAGATTGAATACAACATTGATGAAAAAGTATTCGTGAAAGTCTCACCATGGAAGAAAGTACTACGGTTTGGTAGGAAGGGAAAACTGAGTCCAAGGTATATTAGGCCATATCGAATCACTAAACGGGTAGGTCTAGTGGCCTATCAGTTAGAACTTCCACCCGAACTAAACAAAATTCATGATGTATTCCATGTGTCAATGTTGAAACGATACCGTTCTGATCCATCGCATGTCTTGACCGATGGAACTGTAACCCTTGATTAAATTTAACTTACGAAGAAGAACCTGTTCAAATCTTGGCACAGGAAGTCAAAGAGCTGAGAAACAAATCTGTCCCTCTAGTTCAATATGGAGAAATCACTCAACTGAAGAAGCAACGTGGGAAACTGAAGAATCAATGAGAATGCAATATCTAAACCTCTTCATTCAATGACTCAGGTAATTTCGAGGACGAAATTATTTTAAGGGGGAGAGAAATGTAACACCTCGAAAATAGGCCTATCAAGATTAATTAATTGATAATTAATTAATTACCGAGAAGGACCCAAAAACAAGTGATTTATAAAAATTTGTCAATAAATAATGAAAATTATATCGTTATGTAGAAGTTAACTGTCTGATTCCAACGATATAATCGAAATTCAACTCGGAGAAAGTTGGACCAAAAAGCGTACCCGACTGGGACCAATTTAGTCCCAATTAGGGACTTACGTTTAGAATCGGAGAAGGGTCGCAACCCCCTCCACTCAGCCGCCTAAACAGGGAAGCTTGCAATACACCATGGCCTCTTTCTCCATTTCCTTCCTATATCAACCCTCCAAACTCCACCATTCTTCACTATTCTTCTTCCAAGAGATAGCTCAGAGTGTAGAGAGTGAAGTAGTGTTGTCAAAAAAGCTTCCCGTCGTCAGAGATAGCCACAATCGTCGCCGGAAGTTTCGCTGGAAAATCTTCAAAACCTTCATTTACCTTTGAGGTAAGCCCGTAGATATATTTAATGACCAGAATGTTCATATAGGTCGTTTCTACGTTTATAAATGGTCATTTGGTTGAGTTTTGTGTTTGACATGTTTGAAGAACCAAGAATCCTAAACCTTGAATTTAATGTTAAAACTATGAATTAATGATACCAGAATGATCCATGAACATTGGAGAACATTTCTATATAGTTTAATTGAAGTTTGGTGACTAAAAACGAAATTCTCAAAAATAGACCCGAGGAGGAAGACGATGAACAGTGCATGGTAACTTACTACCGCCGGCACGGTAGATAGGTACCATCCAAATGGTACCCACCTACCGCCGGGACGATAGAGAACTACCGCCGCCACCAAGCTCCTCTGGTGGTACCTGTCCACCAGCGATACCCCCTACCGCCAGCACGGTACTGAGGTACCGTTAGCCGGTACCGAGGTGCCGTGAAGGGTACCGTCTGATCCGACTAATTTCCAGAAAATCCGATTTTTGAACCATTAAATCTTATTTTTGTCACTAATCAATTATGATCAATATGGATATAAATTCTAGAAATAAAAATGATGTTTTGACAATTAAAGACCTTACATGATGCATGACGGTAAGCTAGGGTGTTAACACTCGAAGTTAGACCGCTAATTGTTTTTGCTTTGAATGTTATGATTATGATGCATGATTATTATGGATTAATGATGATGATTGTTCTTCATTATTGGATTAATGAGTATTGAACTAGAATCAAAATAAATGGGTTGATAAAAATGAGTGGTATTGTTAAGGCTATCTAGAAGACCTCTAAGATAGACCTCTGATTAGAATGGGCCTTGCGGGTATAAACATGTATATTCGGTGGACTTGGGTAAAAACGTACGTACGGGATACATAAACCAAACTAGAGGAACTCGTTTGAGGATACCACCCAACCCGACAGTTAGTATTCTAGTGTTCGGTTTTTTGGATTTGTACCTTAAGCGAAGGCTAGTTTAAGAGTTGGTAAATCAATCGAAATATATGCACCTTAAACTAATGACCTAGCTTAAGCGTTGGATAGAAGTACCTTGAACTAGAATTAGTTTAAGAGTTGGTAAACATAAAAAAGATTGACCTTAGACTAAGTATAGTTTAAGGATATTGTTGAATATTGAATATGGTATATGAATGTCTTGAGAATATCATGAATAAATTATACATTGTGTGCATGATATCAAATGGTTGTTTGTGAATTGAGATTCAATTATGTGGATGTTCGACGCTTTAGATATGCTTACTCAGCTTCACCGCTGAGTATATAGTGTGTTTTATTTGCTACACGCAGGTAGGCAGAATGAGTGATTGGCATGTTCCTGGCAGCAGAAGGGGCGAGGCGATCATGGTGGATTTATTATTTAAAATGAATAAATTAAATTGTTATGAGACATGATTTAAATTGCTTCCGCATTATAATTAAAAACTCCTTAATTTATTACTGTTATGTATGAAATATTATTTTATGATAAATAAAGATGTTGAAATGTTTTAAATGATTACGATTTCCAAATTAATACTCCAGTCCGAAAGTGGCTGCAGACCTGAACGGATTAGGGGTTTACACTGCCAGTTGGGACACATTTTTACTAAACCCCTATCAAAACCAGTATTTGATTTTTTGGGCATTCAGGATCTTCATGCGCCAACTTGAGGGAGAGTGTTAGCAGGTATTTGTAATTGGGCCGTAGATATTATGTTATTGGGCCTGTGTGATTAGCACATCTTGTACTTGTATATATATCAGTTTGTTAATAATAAAACGAAGATCAATATACGCTAAAATTCTACAAGATTCCTTTCTTCTTCCTAGGTGGGGGGAGGGGGCATGTGGGTTTTGAGAGTTAAGGTAAAAATTATTAATTTTATCAATGAAGTAACGTACGGATATATTTTATTTGTTGGCTCATTTTTATTTCAAAATAGCTAACGTCAAAAGATACATTATGTAGAAGTGCAAAACGATATATGAATATGATTATAAAAATCAATTCTGCTCGATTTTAGATTTAGTGTTTTGGGATGGGTTTTTTGTTATAGAAATCTGTTTTATATTGCTACTGTCAAAATTTTAATATTTTCTCCATTAAAAAAAGTTCTTTACAATTGGAAATTTTTATGAAACTTTACACACTTTGACTATTAATAAATATATTTTTAAATAAATAAATGTTACCGAGTATAAAAATTTTATATATCAAAATCACATATTAAAGTGAACTCAATTATATTGGATTTAGATTATGATTAAATATATTTTTCATCATTGGTAATATATAAATATTTACCAAAATAATGAAATTGAAAAAGTGAGAGAGAGAGAGAGAGGAGTGTAAAATTGATTTAAATTTTGTAAAACTAATATGCAATGGAGCCATAATCCTAGCTAGTAGTAATATATATGTTGCGCATAACGCAAATTCTTTCGTGGTTTTATGGTCTAAACTCATTTTATATATAGACAATACTATATAAATTCTATGGACGAATTTGGCTCATTGAAAAAAAAAGTACTCCGTACCAGTTGATGAAAGGTGCGAGAAGATTCACGTTTCACGTGTAGAGCTTAGGATCATGGAAGCACAATTATATGTATAATAAGCTAATACGTACGATCATGTTAATATGTTAAGATTTAATAAAATACGGGTTATTATGTATATTAAACGTTCAGGATTTGGATGCGTATACGTATACATCTTAATATATGTATATATTAACATAATACATGCCAAATAGGCACTAATTCTTTCAATGATAGTAATCGATCAATTCATAATAAAGTAAATAAAGAAAATGTAAAAATCTTTTAAATGAAATATTTACAATAGAATTCATCAAACTTGAATTTCTATTTATTTAACATATATTTATTTGAAAAAAATATTCCATTTATCAAGGAAAAACATCTTTATTTGACTTTTAAGGAGTTTTAAAAATTCAAGAAAATAAAAAAGTTATGGATTAAATTTGTTTAGAAAAGAGAATAGTTGTGATTCAATCATTCCTTTCTTAAAACGAAAATGGGCTTTTTGGGACATACAAAAAGGAAAAGAGCGAAGTCCTTTAAGAACGAAAAAAAAGTGTGAAGTTTTTTTCAAGGATGAAGAGAGTAAATATTTTAATTTGAGTAACTGAAAGAAGTCACTAAGAAAAAGTAGTTATCATGTTAGGAACTCACCTTAGTTGATCCTGCGGGTGATAATCATAAGTGATTTTATACATACACAAACGATAATCATTTGTGTATGTATAAATCATCTGTGGGGGCACCCTGTGGTAGATTTCTAGCATTATGAAGAAAAAAATCTCTAATTTTATTTTTTGAGTAATGTTGAGGTACACCAACTTTCACACAATGTCTCCTCCCCCTACATATTTCTTATCGATTTTCTAATTGAGAATTTACGTAAATAGCACTAAAACATAATGACTTTCTCTAAATAGCACTATATATGTTTCTTTTTCCAATGTAGCACTTTTAGTCATTATCCATTATTCATTATTCAAGTAAAATGTTTGTGATCATTAGTCATTATGGACATTATTAAGTGCTTTTTAGGGAAGAAAACAATCTAAGTGCTATTTAGAGAAATAACTTAAGTTTTAGTGCTATTTAGTGCAAATATTTCTTTCTAATTTTCTTATCCATACAAGAAAATGTGTTGTGGGAGAAGGATGGTGTGCAACTTATTGTATAGTATAGTGTCATGTGCACATAGCCTTTTTGTTATTTCTAATTAGAAAGAATGTAAGATGACAAGTGACGGTATTTCTACTCTAGTTGTAGAAGCTTTCAGATCAGAATCGAAAGAGGAAGTTTTGGAACAGTAACAAGAATCGTAATCATCAAGAAGTGTCAGGCAAAGCTTGTGTTTTTATTGCATGCGTATTTTCAATTTGTTAATGTTGATTCATAATATTTATCACTAAGGAAAGAGTCTCCATTCATTTATATAACTATTTTTCAAAAAATATTTAAAAAACATTTTCAGAATTGCTTCGGAATTGAGATCAAGGGCGAAAACGAGACCACTGGGAATGAGACCCATATGAATTGGAACCACCCCTACGTAGTACCCGTTTTTGTTTTAGAATCGAATCGATACCACAAATTTATACTGACTTCAAATAAAGAATTGTGCTATTGTGATTTTAAACCCACACAAGAAATGCAAATTTTCTCACACATTTTCCATATATACTTATAATTAAATTACTTTTTTTACAAAGTTCAATATATATACGTGGAGTATAAAATAAGTGAAGACTACCAAAGTCCAAAGGAGTATAAAACCTAGATCTAAGTAATCTAAGGGGCCGAGGGGCAGAGGTAAACCAGTGGCAGACAGCAGGCACACAGAGGAAGATTACGACGTTCAATTGCCGCGCCACCGCGGCTCATCTAAAGCTACTACCATTCCGACCGCCGCGCTGCCCAATCAGGTTCTTAGTTTAGTTCCGAGTTGCAAGTTCATACCCAAATTATCATCGAATTTAATCCAAAGAGGAAAGTGATTAAAATTGTAACATTTGATTTGTTTTGCATTTAATTTGCTATGTTGGGGTTTGTGAGATCAAGGTGCACAATTGTTTGATGCATCATTCATTGCTGCATCTACTCTGAATCATATATTTTGTATATATAATGGTGGCTTTGTGCAGGAAGGTTTAACTATCTCAATAAATATTTTTTTGATCAATTTGTTAACAGACGAAGCAGGAATGGTTCCTAATCAGAAGATAGATACTCAATATGAAGCCTTGATCATTTCAACAGATGCTGCCAAGAATCAGGACCATTTAACTGCTTTCCTGAGGTCACTCTTGAAGGTTAGTTATTTAAACCTTGATTATGCGCCTTTCGTACTGAAATTCTTGCTTTTTGAATGTCTTTGTGATCCAATCATTAAGCACAAGACGAAGCTTTTTGAATGTCTTTGGGATTCTGAATATCTCATCTCCTGCATTGATCTAATTTATCAGACACACACACGCACACATAGGATTGACTCCAGTCAGATGACACCTTACGGTGAGATGATATGCTACAGTCACATGATGCAAAGGTCACTACTGGCCACTACAAAGGTTACCAAAGACAACTACAAAGCTCACCAAACTGTAACGCAAAACTCACCATATTTTTTCAACACTTTAAATTTTTTTTGAAAAAAATAAAATCAAAGAAAGGGGTGCTGACTAGATTTTGACCGTTGACCGCCGCCTCCCACCGTTGGCCAACGCCGGCCGCTGCCGCTCCTCCGCCACCGCCGCCCATGCTCCGCCGCTGTGCCAACCCTGCTCTGCTGGCGGCCGCCGCCGGTGACCTGTGATTTACCGGTGTTGCTATTTTATTTCTAATTATTTTTTTAGTTTTCAAAATTTAAAAAAAGGTGAGTTTTGGTGTTCAAAGTAGTGAGTTTTGCTTTATTTCCAGGTGAGCTTTGCATTGTGCATTGGTGAGCTTTGTAGTGTAGTGTGGTGAACTTGGCGTCATCTCACCGAAACATGTCATCTCACCATAGGTGTCGTATGACTGGAGTCAATCCCTGTGTGTGTGGAAAGAATTATTCCACTTTGTTTGGTATTTGGGTTTCTACTAAATGGACAAGTGAAACATAACTATTGAAGCAGTCAATGATTAGTCATGTTGATGGTGGGGCTTTCATTAAGCAAATTGATGTGTTCCATGCCAATAATGATCCAATAGGTAAATTTCATCAAGCTCATGCTCTTAAGTTTTTATACATCTATTAGGGTGTTATGTATGATTGACCTTATGGCCTTACCATGCAAGATCTGCAAACCATATCCCAAAAAGTTGATTCAGGGCAATATTATGTCACTGTTGAAATGTTTGTATCTGATGTGAAGAGGATGGTTGCTAATGCACGCGCTTTACATGGTCCCGATTCAATGCATCATCGTTGTGCAGATAGGCATGATCATGGGGGGGGGTGTTTCTTTGTGTTGGTAGTTGGTGTTTATTGGCTTATTGCAAATAAGCCGTTTTTTACTTATAAGTTGCTTAAAATTAAATGTTTTTTCGCGGAAATAAAATGAATTAAATGATATATAAGTTATTTGGGGATATTCATAAAGGGTGAGAGATATTTTGTAAATAATCTAGTCAAAACAGAGAAACAAAAAAACTGACTTAAAAATAAGTAAGTAAGACCTATTTATAAGTAGTTTTTAAGTACGGAAGAACACGTCATCACTCATAAGTTAAAAACAACTTATAAAAAGTTTTGACCAGCTTATAAGTACAGAGAAATACCAACTTTATGTGTTAATTGTTTTTCTTTCATCAGCATTATCAATCAGCATTATCAACTAGAATGATATTGCGATAATCCTATTTATTGCTTTTGTGTGTTTTGTTTACTAACTGTTCTGTTCATTTGTAGGTTTGAAAAGTTTTTTGACATAAAACTGAATTGTGAGTATATTATGTGGGGTCCTTGAGTTCTTCCCAAAAGTACCCATCCTCAAGTGATTTCTCCATACAATCTTTTCATTATTGATTATTCATTCAGAATTGCACGTAAAGTGTGGATCCATTTGTAATAAAGGATCATTAACTAAATAAGTAGTTGTAGTACGGAGTTATTAATAACATTCCACTTTGCTTGTTCTTTTGCTTGTCTCTTTTCCAGCCAAGCATCACAAAGTTTGCTCATATATCATACTCCCTATTACACTTGTTTTATGCTTGTTACTTTTCCAACATCTCAAATTCCCATTTTCTTCTTCTTCTTCTACGTCCCCTTCTTTAATCGTATTTGAGTATTTATTTATATCTAAATAAATATAATTGAAAAAAAACTAAATTTTATTACTCGGTATGTACAATCTAATTTTCAATATTATTAAGAATAAATTATAAATTTAGGCAGACAAAAAAATGTAAAAATGCACTATTAAATTCGATTATTCGATTGATGCTACCAGGCTACTAGGTGTCGCTGGTGCGACGCGATGGCAACGGCATTGATCGGTCAGCCCAATGGGAAGTGCCGGAGATGCCATTGCACAGGGCCTCTATATTTAGAGGGCCCGATTATATTATACCTTAATTCCTAATCTCACGATATTATTGTAGCCTAATACGGGGTAGTTTTTTAAAGACCTAATGCTTTATTCAATTAAGTACGTAGTGCTATGTATTTTCTTCCTTTTGTATTAACCCTTTTGGGCTTCTTAATTTTACAGTGGTACTCGATTTCTGGATTCCTCCTTGTTTTAGTCTTTTAATTTTACCCAGTATTTGTTTCATAATGTTCACTTGTTTTAGCCCTTTTTCTAAATTTTCTTCTCTTTTTTTTCAACCCTAAACAAGCCCTTATACATAGGCTATGTTCTTTTGGATTGAAAAAATTAACTTCCTCTTTTTTCCAACTCTATTGAGCTCTTTCTAACTTATTTGAAATGTTAAAGATAAAAGAAATATATTGAAATAAAATGATATACTTGCATGCAATTAAAGGCATTTGCATAAATAGGGCTGGACATGATCTAATTCTGGTCCGTTTCAAACGATTCAGTGCTAGACAAATTCGGTAGTCCATTAGAATGTTGCTGGTAGAATTGAACTATTGTTCCACAGCTACGGTTGAAACTGGCATAGATAACTTTTGTCTGGCTAGCATTTCAAGTGACGGGAACATGTGTTCATTCCGCTCTCACCATTCAATGATGTCGAACTCGGTATCGTTGTCTTCATCGTAGTCGCATAGAACGCCTTGGTACATTGCAAGTTTGTTGTGCGAACTTACACTTGTACCACATGTATTCATCGACAAAGAGGTACGCTTACCTTTTTCGCCAAAGAGGCCACCGACTATCCCTTTAAAATCCTTTTTGTCTTGGGGGCAAGAGGAACTACTGTTTCTTCTGGTACAGTACCATATAAAACTTGAAATTTTTTAAATAAAGACTCAAAAAGATCAATAACATTATCTCTTTTTTGTCCATTCAGCATAAATAATGCATTATGATATCTAATAAAACAAACACTCTTTTCCATCAATAACTTTTTTCCATTTTAAAATGATAGCTTTTAAAAATATATTTTAGTTCAAACCACATCCAACTATCGACAACATTAACCTATTGGTTTTTTTCTTGAATCGCAAGTCACAACCATGAAAAGTCAACATAACGAAAGATGAAAAGAAGAGATTTATTTAAAAAGTAAGAGTACGAGAAAAGTTATACTTAACGAACAAAAGTACATAATAGTGGTATTTTAAAGTTATATTTTTATATTATTGATTCAACATAGTGACGAAATTATGAAATTTTGTTCCTGGGTTTCATGAAATTATAACTAATAAGAATACAAAAATAAAACTCGAAATATTTCTTTAATTTGGGCATACATTCTTCAACTTTTATTAATTATCATGATGGGGGTAAGAATAATTAAATTAATGGTGCATTTGGTTATGGTACAACATTAGAAAAAAAAACTAGAAGGTTTGGAAGGAACTAGAAGTTATTAGAAAGAAAAACGTCGGAAAGTATTTAAAGTTAATGATGCATTTGGTCGTGAGAAAATATCTAATCTACTTATAGGGGAAAATAATTTTCACAAAACTGATTCTTCCCCACATTTTCCATTATTTGATAGAAAAAAAATATTTTTCGTATTAGTACATGCTCCATATTTGATATTTGAATAAAAGTAAAGATTTTTTGAGACATTTTAAGAATATTTGAGACAACATCGTTTAAAGTTTTATACACAATCGATATCAAATATTCATAATACGTGTTCCTTTATCTAGGATTTGGGAGAGGGGGTAGCCGAGGGTTGAGAAAGGGGGTGGGGTGCGTGGGGAATTCTTTAATTTGTTTTGTTCGTAAAATTAGAGTACTCGAAGATTGGATAGGAAACTAAATTTTCGTCGAAAACAAACAAATGTTTTTTTCCCTTTTTGAGAAAATAATTTTCATAAAATTTGATTTCATAGACTTATTCCACCAAACATAGAAAAAGTCAAATTGAAATCTTTCAACCAAACAACGGACGGGTGAATTTCATGTATGGTACCTGAACTTTTAGCTATTTTTCATTTTGGTACCTAGACTTCATTTTCTTTCACAAAAATACTTGAACTTTGCAAATCTTTAGCAAATGGTACCTGGAGCCGGTTTTCAGGTAATCATCAGGTCATTTGGGCCAAATTTACAATTTTATATATTTTAAAATCTTCAATTTGACTCATTTCTTTTTTCTTCTTCTCCCCCCTCCCACTCCCTTCTTTTTCTTCTTCTTTCAACCTTGTTTTTCTTCTTCTTCCTTTATTCACCCCTTCTTTTCTTTTTCTTCCTTCTTTCACCCATTTTTTCTTCTTCTTTATTAAACTGTCAACTCACAACAACCCACCCTTCCCTACTTGTTTAACCCCACCCCCTTTCTTGAGTCCCCTCTTTTTTTATTTAATTTTAACTTCCTCTTTTAAGTATTTTTTTTTTCAAATTTTTTGTTGATAACTTTTTAAAATTTTTTCAATTTTCTTTGATATATGTCTTTCTTTTGTTTTCGGTCTTTCTTATTTGTAAATTTTTTTGTTTGCTTTTTTCTATTTTTTCTAGATGTTTTAATAAAGATGTCAAAAAGGAACTAAACAAAAAAGTAACAAACAAAAACAAACAGAGAAAAGTAAAACAGTTAGTTTTTTTAAAATGTCCTATTTTTTTTGTTTATGGTACTATATGTCTTTTTTAAAAAAATTCTGATGTCTTACTTTTTTGGTTTTTTTTTGCATTTTATGTATTTATTTAGTGCTTAATTTATTCACATGTTTTGTTTAATTGTTTACCATAAAGATTAAAAATAGACAAAAAATTTAACAAACAAAAAAACTGAAATTAAACAAACAAAAAATTAAGATGTACAAATGATTATCTTTGTTTAATTAAATTGACTAAATACAAAGTAACACAATTATTAACAGAAAGGATAAAAGATAAAGGAAAAAATAATCAAACAGACAAATAAAGAAAAATAAATAAATCAAAACAAAAAAAGTATAAAATGAAAAAGGCGGAAAAGGAATAAATAATAACTAAAGATTTCAAAATGAAACTAAAGAAAAAAAATAGCAAACGGAAAGAAACAGAGAAAATTAAAGGAGTGAAAAAAATTTAAAAAGGAAAAATAAAAAAACAAGGATAGAATGATAAAAATTAAAAGAAAAAGGAAAGAAAATATAAAAAGTGAGAAAAAATAAAATACTACGTATAAATAAAGAGTTGAAAAAGGATCAAAAGAAAAAAAGAAGCAAAAGAAAAGAGGGGAAAAAAGTGAATAAGAAAAAAGAAAACAAAGAAAAAAATAAAAGAAAAGAGGGGAAAAAGAAAGGAGAATGGGTTGAAAAAGAAAAGAATATAAATTATGAGAGTGTTAGGAGAAGAAAAAAGAAGAAATGAGCGTCAATGTGAAAAAATAAGTACTCCCTCCGTCCCCAATTAGATTACAATATTCCCTCTTATTTTTGTCCCAAAAAGAATTACAAAGTGTTTACTTTTACACTAAATAGACTCTTTTACCCTCCTTCCCCTTTATCATTTCAATGTCAAAATCTCACCCACCCACCCATTCCTATACTATTTGGGGTAATTTGGGGAAAAAAATACTGATTTGACTCTTCCTTAATTTTGTCTAAAAGGGAATATTGTAATCTAAAAGGGGACGGAGGTAGTACTATTCTAGTTTTGCAATTTGGCCCAAAATGTCCTGCTGGTCACCTGGTAATGGACAAATGGACTATTTGTGAAAGGATTGTAAAAGATCAGGTATTTTTGTAAAATATTTTAAAGTTCAAGTACCAAATTAAAATTTTAGTGAAAGTTCAGGTACCATTCTTGAAATTTTCAACAACGGACACTAAGAGTTACAGAGTAGAATCTTAATAAGGATTATTCTATGGGTACATCGGTTATGTACACCGGATGTACCCCATATACCCCTTACCCACACGAAATACACCCCCTCCCCCAAAAAAATTTCTCCCCCTCATCCTTGCGCCTTCCCTCTCTCTGCACCTTCTCCCTGCGCCTTCCCTCTCCCTACGCCTTCCCAAACTTTGCACCTCCCATGTACACCAAAAACCCTTATTCACCATCGCCGGTGATTGATGTACACCATCCCTCACTCTATTTCATTTTTCATTTTTGTCCCCTCCCATAGGGTTTCAATCTTCACCAATTATTAATATTCTCACAAGATCGGGTGCAGAAAAGAGAAATAAACATACCCTGAACAAGCCAAGCGTCCCAACAGTGGATCTTCCACCGCCCCCACCGTCCCAGGCGTCCCAAGCGTTTTGAAGTTCACAGAAATATTCCCTCCAGGTATTAATATGCTCAATTATTACTTTTGCTTCTTGGATTATGAACCCTAACTTCTTAATTACATTTTTTCATGTTTATCCGGAAAAAATGGTAAATGTATGTGAACTCCTACACCCAGACGCAGAATGTCTATTTTCAATGTTAATTGCTTGCTTCGTATCATGTATTTATCTTCCTGAATTATTACTTTTTGTTCTTGTATTATGAACCTTAAGTTCTTAATTACGATTTTTTCATGTTTTGAAAAAAATGGTAAATGTATGTGAACTC